TGGCTCTTCTTAAGCCATTGCCGCCTGCTTGGCGGGGAAGTTGCTTTGTCTGTTTGTGTGAATGTTGTCCTTTTCTAAACATACCATGCTAAGTTATCCACCTGCCTTCTGCCCCAGAGACCCCCTTTGTCTGCTGCTTTTCCAGCCCCAGATCAGACCCTGGCAAACCTGGACAACAGCTTTCTTCCAACTTTCCACCTCTGGGGTTGTCACTCATTTCTCCGGGTCTCCTGCCTCCTACATTTTGTTTACTGTTTGTTTGCTGTAGCACGATAGTTATTTGTTTCCCTGTCTGTGCTTTGTAAAGTGTATGAGCTATTCCTCTGCTGGCACCTAAGGCCAATTTCTGTGATACATCAATAATTTTTAGATGGTACTCAGAGAAACAAACAGCAGTGAACCACAGCATGAGGAAGTTATTACTTTCAATTTTTTCCAAACTTTGATTACATCAGGGGGAAAGCCCCAGCCTGGGGCCCATGTGTCTTCACCCCTTGCTAACAGCCTTCCCGCTCAGGGCCTGAGTCAGGTTATTTGATCGTCCTCATCATCACCATCATCAAAACAATGGCAGCTTAAAATCAAAGAGTGCTTTCTCTGTGCCTGGCAGTGTTCTAATGGCTTTCTCTACATTTCCTACACATATTACTGATTAAGCAACTAATTCAGTTAATCCTCAAAACCCTATGAAGTAGCTCCCAGATGAAGAAAAAATTACGACTCCCAGATGAAGAAACTGAATCACAGAGAGGTTATGTGACTCACTCACAGTCACACAGCAGGAAAGTGGGAGAAGCAGGGTTTCGGTCCAGGCAAATGTACCCTTAACCACAGTGATACTGGGCTAGAGTTTAAGGATGCTCTTTTGTTTTACCCTTGTCTTCTATTTTGGACAAATATATTCATTTTCTATTTAGATGGCGATACAAAATCTCTTTTGTATGTTATATGCCAATTATGTCTCAGTTTAAATAAATGATAGCTCAAAGAAAGACAGCTTTAAGTGGGACTACCGCATGGCAAAAAAGTGAGGCAAGTGAAGCAGAAACACTTAGCACATAAGAGGAGAGCTGGTTCTCGGATGCGACGGCAGCTGGGAGGATGGTGTGCACAGACTGAGGTTCGGGGGGACTGGCTCAAGCTGGCTGTGAGCGTCCCAGGGGCAGGATCCTGTTGGTGTCAGGCAGGGTCCAGCCAGGGAACAGAAGATGGCACACCCAGCAGCTTCATTGGAAAGAGTGTGATGAAGGCAGTGTTCACAGAGGTGCGGGGAAGCAGGGGGTAATAACATGCCAGGGACTGGCCGCAGAGGGAGGCTGTTACCACCCTGGAAGGAACAAGGGGAGAAAATGATATCACCAGATTACGGAGAGCGGAGAGCGGAAGCCAGCTGTGGCGGTGGAAGGGAGGTCAGCAGACAGAAACTGTAGCCAAAGGGCAACCAGCTACGGGGGCGGGGACCTGTTTCCCTTCTGGCCTGTAATATCCATGCTGCCACTCCTGCCATGGATGGGCTCCAACTGGAGGCCAGAGGGCAAAGAGCCCAGTGATGCCATCAGTAAAGGTCAGCCTCCCAGACGCAGAGCAGGGCAAAGGAGAGCGGCCGGCAGAGAATAACCAGTGCGGCCTGATAGCTGGGGCAGTGTGGTACACAGAGGGTGTTGCTCTGAGTTAACTGAACCAAATGGAGGAATGGATTTCCAGTAAAGGGTGCCGTGCGGTCAAGGCAACTGGACCCTGGACCTCTGGGGTTTCACTTCCAGCTTATCGGGGTGAGTGAATCATCAGATTTCGGTGACCTCTCGGGGCTTGAGTCACACACATGCAGGAGGAGCTGAGTTGCTGGTGCCTGCTAAGTGTTTCAAGCTGTAATTATATCCTCCACCTCCTCAGAGTGTCTAGACTAGATTGCGAGAGCTGGAGAAAAAAAAAAAAACGACTGCAGCCTTCTGTGGCCCTCGAACAAATGGGAGTTCCTGGCGGAGGCCCTTTTCCCAGAGTGCAGAGGAGCAGCAAATCCCCAAAGCAGCAGCAGCCTGGGCCAGGAAGATGAAGAGAAAAAGGGAAAAGACGTGCCTGGCTGAAGTGTCTCAGAAGGAAAGATTCCAGTCAAGAAGTGGCTGTTGGAGTAGGAAGGGATCGTGTTGTGTTCCCCAGAAAAACTGCACGTGACTTGCCATCAGTAATATTAATAAACGCTTCATATGCACCACACATTTGTTATGAGCCAGATGCAGTGCTAAGCATCTTACATACTTGGCTGCATTTCATCTCTGCAACCACCCTATGAGGCGAGTCCTATTCACCTTATTTTCGAAAAGAGAAAAATGGAGCTTAGAAAGGTGAAGAAAACATGGTCATAGCTACAAATGGTTGAACATTTGATATGAGCCTGGCACAGGGGAAAGAGCCCGTCAAAGGGCAGAGGGTGCTTTCTAAAGGGCGACCAGCTTGACATGAAAAGTAACCAGCCGTCCTCCCCACTCCTGCGCCTGGAGGCCCTTGATCCCCGGCTGTACGTTCCTGTATCAGCGACCAGTACCCAGGAAGGCAGAGGCCGCTCTCCACTCCATTCCCCTAAAAAGTATCTTCCTCACCTTTCTCCCAGGCTCTCTGCCCCACTGACCAGGCAAAGCCGTGTGGGCCCTCATCCAACCTGGTGCCGTCATGACTGAGAGGCGACCCGGCTGCCTTTTAACAGGGGTCTCCAACGATGGCATTTCCCACAATATTAAAGAACTTAGTTACCTCCTCGCCTGACTTTTCTCTAGTCTCTGCTACAAATACCTTTAGTTTAATTTTTCATTTTAAAGGGTACGGGTAAAGTAACTGGCTCAAAATAGTTCTTCACTAAAGAGTGATCGCTATTATTTGGCAACTATTCAGACGGTGCCGGAGCCCGGCATCACAATCTGGAGCTCACCCCTGTCTCGAGAGGACAGGCTCACCTGCATTTGCGGAGCTGCCTCATTTAGTGAAAAAATAAAATACGAAAGGAAAAATGGAAAAACAGGATGATGTCACATGTGATGTATTTGAGATGTGTCATTTAATAAATCAATGCTTTAAACATGCATATACCTGCAAACCCACAATAAAATTGTGCAACTGACAATATAATAATAATTACAAGACTCACTAAAGACAAATAATGCATTGAGCCTGCACTGGGTAGGCAAGGTGGCCTGGTGAGGAGACCCGGCTGTGCAAGACTCTGCGATGTGCACTCTTCCTTCGGGCACGTCAGTGAGGCTCGGTGACTCACTGCTCTCATTTGGAGATTAAAACAAAAGTCTAAAGTTAGTTTTTGTTGCCAAATTGCCTTCCTCAGACACCTCCCCCCTTGACCAACACCAATAGGTTCTGCTTGCTATTAATCTTTACTTTTATTTTTTTGAATATCAGCATTTTCCTGTGACTGGGCTTCCCCGCCAGAATAAAAGTCATACATACAACTGCAACTTTTTATGCTTATAACAGACATGTAACATACTAATTGAATGACTGATATTTGTTGAACATCAAGGTTTTATTAAAAGTTCTAGCTTAAAAAATGCGCTTTTCTCCACTGTAACTTGTCATTTTTTTCTTTACCCTACCAAAATATGCATCTATTCTCCATACCTAATCCATCGTATGAAAGAAGAAAACCTCGAATCCATTTTTTTTCTTTGCTTTCTATCCAAACCCTTTTGAGCGAGGGTATCACCCTTCCCTCCTCTCCCTAGAAGCCTGGTGTGGCTCCCTCCACAGCTGCTCCTTTCATCCCTCGCAAGGCAGACACCGCCTTGCTTTGTTATTTCAGTTGATCCAACGTGACTAAAGCATCAGATGCACTTTCTCTGAACATTCAACCTCTGATCACTGAGAAGCATGAGGTCTGGATGACGGACTCTGGCAAGAATCTTCTCCCATCTGGTTCTAGTTCAGGGCTGGCCTTTGACGGGCCTCCGTCTCACACCAGGACTCTAAGTGGGTGTGGAAGCTGCTTGGCTCTCTGGCAAGTTGAGTGGGTCCATGGAGAGCTGTTTATTTTTCCAAACAAGAGCAGTGAGGTGCTGGTGTCTCAGCATCATGCAGATTTAAGTGTATTACCAAATTCTCCCAAACAGGTGTGTCTTATTTGACTTAAAGAACTATCTGTTGTTGTCGGACACAAAGGTTCTCCCAAATTATGACCTAACTTTGAGGATATAACAGTAGTTTTAAAGACAGAAGCAACTGGTGTCTCCACACATTGTTTAAGGATATCGTAAAAGATCCATGCTATCTTTGCTGTTTTCTCATTCTGTTCCCTTTGGTTGAAGCCAATATTTCTTGTCTAGAAACAATAGCCTCCTAATTGGTCTCCCTGCCTCCTTTCTCACCCCTTACCATCCTTCTTCTTTCTACTTGCTGCCAGAACGATGTTTTTTTGGATACACACACCTGAGTATGACCACCCAACCCCTGCCCCTTGTTCAAATACCTGCAGTAGCTCCTCACTGCATATAGGAGAAGATACACAGTCCTTAGCAAACATACAAGGCTCACTGTAACAGAGGGAGTAAAAACTGGTGGAATCTATAAATGGAATTCTTTTCTTCTTTTTAAAGAAGCTGAGGCACACCAGACATAGCACGGTACACACTGGGTCCATGGGGACAGTTTAAAGCCCTCACTCTAGGTGTTCACTCTGGCCAGTCCAAGTGCAGGCACCTCCATACTGCTTGCTACTCCAGCCTCCTCGCCTAGCTCATTATTTGTCTCACGGAACTTGGTTCCAAACTGGTATCCTCCAAGCATCTTTCCTTAGTAGGGAGTCTGGGTGAGGTGTCATCATCACCCTGGCTCTCAAAGCCATCTGCAGTCCCTATGTGACAGCAGTGACCACACTGTCACTTGTGGGACTCCTCCCTTGGACCAAGACTTCCTTGATGAAAGTGAATATCTTACTCCTCCTTGAGCAAGTAAGAACACAGAATAAACGTTTATAGTGGGCATGTGTTTTGTCTAACCAGGACCTCCTCTTCCCCTCTCCTGGAAAGAGCAGCTGCTGGCCCACCTCCTCTTTAAGGAACTGCCCTTTTTCTGCACCTTCTGGTCTTGACCATGCTGCTAAACCAGATGATTCCAGCCCCATCCTAGGGGAGGGCACATAACTCAAGTTGGACCAATCAAATTCTTTTACCTGGAAATGTGAAAGGTTCAAAAAGGCAACTGGAGCTATAGCATCAGGTGAGAGCCCTCTAAAGGGACCACAAGCGCCCTAGCTCCTGGATTTTAGCCTTCTCAAGGCTTTGGTGTCAGTGAGCTTTAGCTGTGTAACAAATAATGACAAAACTTAATAGCATAAAATCATATCCTTTTCTTTATCTCAAAATTCTGGAGGTCAATAATTTGGGCTTGGCAAGCTGAGCATTTCTCCTGGTCTTAGAAGGATTTGCATATGTATCTGCGATCAGCTGTTGGTGAACTGGAGGCTGGGGTCTTAGGGTCACCTCAGCTGGGATCATCTCTGTTCTCTACAGTGTCTCATTTTCCAGCAATCTAGCCTGATCTTATTCACATGCACCTGGGCAGAGTTCCAGGAGAGGGAATGGAAGCACACGGGGCTTGCTGAGACCTGGGCTCACGCTTCAACATCATCATCTCCACTGTATGCTATTGGCCAAAGCAAGTCACAGGACCAGCCTGGATTGAAGAGAGTGGGAACTAATATCTACTCCTCGATGGGATGAGCTGCAAAGTCACAAGGTGAAGGGAGTGGATACAAGAGTGGAAATGTGTGGTCACATCTGCAAACTACCATGGCTTTGTTGTTCAGTTTCCTGTTGGTCTTCCAATGCCTTTCTTTTTAAATAAAGGTACTATACATCAGCTTCTGCTGTTTGCAATTTAAAGACCATAACTTATTCATACTTGGGAATGAATCGATGAGGATATGCTACAGTGGGCCCAACGTCATCCAAGGGAGACTGTTACGAAGAGGGGAGGGGAGAAGGGTGGCAGACCTTATCATGGAGCTGAGGGAGCTGCAGAGTGTGCTGTGTGCCGACTGTCTGAGCGCACCTCAGAAGTCATGATACTGCTTTCCCTTCCACCTCCCTGACTCACCCACTGTGGTCACTGGCCAACAGCTGGAAATCTCTCTGAGGGCCAGGTGTGGAAGAATAAGTCTTCCACTTGGAACTGCTCTCTTGTCACCAGCTAAATTGAATTTGAGATCCTGACTGTTTGCATTAGGTCACTATCCTCAGTTGTAGGTTAATAGAGCAACATTTTATATTTAACATTAGTTTAAACACAGGACATAAAGTTTTTAAGGAAAGGTTCTTTCGATAATGGGGAAGTCTAAAGGCTGAAGGGATCCTTAGTTATGGCCCAGTGTTTCCCAGTTTAGTCCTTCTCACCCTCCACTTCCCACACCTTTCCAATAAAGTCTCCATTTCCTTAGGAGTGGACCATAAGGGTGTTAGGAGAACAAAAACAGTTTCTATAATTAAATAACACTGAACTATGAATGATTAATATCTCATATATGCCTCAGTTTCGAGGATCATTTATAATGTTATGAGGCAGATTTCTTAACTCAGAAATATTTTTATGAGTAAAATCCCAGAAAATATGAAGGAGAGGTCTTTAGGCAGTTATAGGTGGGGGGGTTGTTGTTATTTTTTGTAGTGGTGGTGGAGATACAAATAATGAAAAAATAGTATCTGTGTATAGATGGGAACAGTAGATTTTTGTCATGCTTAGAACTTTCTCTTCTTTGAAAGTCATGGTCACCTTGGCCTTCAGACTATTCCAGAAGTTGGTATAGTAATTTATAGTAAATACGGATGAAAATGGAAAGTTCCTCAAAGTTTTTGCAGCCTTAAACCCAACATTTGAGATTTAACTAGCACCATCAGATAAAATGATTGCCCTGAGGTTCTTTGAGCAGTTCTCACCATCTGCAAACCACAAAACTGTCACTCAAAGTGCTGAGATTCACATCTTTGCGGGTGGGACAAGGAGGAGCTAATATCTGCTCTCAGTAAGGCTCAGGCTCGGGCCATGCGCCAGTGCAGCCAGATAGGATCTCCAGGGCTGAGTGGGACGGTGCGATGCTCCCTGTGTGGGAGGCCTCCTGGGGGGGCAGACTGGTGACCTCACTGGGAACATGAAAACAGTTCAATTAAAAAAAAATACTTATCTTGGAAATGATCTGCCTGAATTTGAGACCAGTGAAGGGATTGTGTTTCCAACACCCTTTCAAAGAAAAAGGCCATTTTCCATTAATCCTGTACAGGGAAGAAATCCCACAGTGCTTCTACTTGACTAAAAGATGATGATTCAGGCAAAAAGGATCTCTACTCCAGGTCTACACAAAGACACAGTAAGGGAATCTCCCTTAAAAGAACCAATTAGAATGTTTTCCTTCTCAAACCAGAGCAGTGATGTGCTCTTGGGAAGTACAAATCTGGGGAAGACCCAAGCACACACGTAACCTCAACTTTTGACCTCTGATACTTTCCTTCCCTCTGGGATTTCTTTCACGATTACTTCAAATGCTGCTGATGAAGACTTAGAGTGTCCCAGTGTCTAAATGCAGACAAAGGAACAAAGGCTGGACATTTCAAAAGCACCTTTACCTAGTATGCAAAGATACAATAGGCAGATTGATGTCAAAACAATCTAGAAGCAATATCAGGCTGAAAGCAGGCTTCTGATCTCCCCCACCCCACACCTGTTTCGTTCTGTTCTGAGCCCTGTTCCTTGCCTAAAGGGCTCTCTCAGCAATTCTTAGTCCCAGGCCCTTGAGCATGTATCTTTCAGGAGACTGGGAGGTCCAGCCCTAGTGACAGGTATGTTGGTGGGGATTTCATATTCTATCAACATTCATATAATATTATCACCTTTGCAAGAGATATTTACAGAAAATTAGCTCATTATAGTGGGCAACATCTCTTCTCTGTTTGGCATATAGCATGTTTGGGCCCAAGGCCTCAGTTTAATTTGCAAAGGGTTCTGGCTAAAAGCACCTGAGATAGTGTAGCCTGATTTGGCTTTACCTGAGGTCTTCTCTCGCCCACAAGTTTCTTAGCTTCTGGGACTACAGACATTTCTGCCAATCTAATAAAAAGCTCCTTTAGCTTTCTGTCCAAATGAAAAATCCAACCCAAGACAATCAGACTGTGTGTTTCAGAACCTTCTGTGAATATGACAAATCTTAGGAGGCCCCTGGCTCCAACTTTGCTTGGAGAGCTGGAAAGCTCATACTTGAATCTGCCAATCTCCCTGAGTGAGTGTGCAAAACTTTTGGGTGTATAAATGTTTGAGTCGAACTTTAGACTGGATTCATTTTATTCTTACATTTCTCTCTGGAATTTATCTCTTTAAAACTTTTTGCCCATTTCTAACTGCATAGTTTTGTCAGCTACCTTAATTATATTTTTCCACCACCTTAGCATCAGAAAAATTCTCTAGAACTTAAAAAGCAGTTTCTGGATTTCTCCTCAGGCGGTGCTCTTCTTGATAATCTATTATCTGAGTGGTTTTACAGCCCTGTCGGGGCAGAGGCTAACTTGTACATTTTTGTGTGGTTAAGATAGAAATAATTCCTCTCCATGGAGCAGGTAATCTCAGAATTTATGACTTCTGCCAAGGCTGGACAACAACCAGTTCTGTATCTGACTTACCACTTTTAACCTAATATTGGACACCTGGCTTCTGAAATGCTATTTGAACTGGTTTTAATACAGTATAATTTCCTTCAGTAATTAATAAGTGAAATATCACCTCTGACACACCTTCTATGTGTATAAAAGTAATTTTTTTAACTTCTGAAAAAGTAACCATAGCAGCAAATAGGAAAAAATGGGCAACACTATGTATTTGTCAAAATCCATAGAAATGTTCAGTGTCAAGAGTGAGTTTTGACATGTGCAAATTAAACATAAACCATTTAGGAAGTCAGGGAAATCCCAGATGGGATGCAAAAGGTGACCCCCACAAAAAAAAAAATTCTACCTGAACTGCAAATGTATGAAACATAGCTCCGTGAAGGGGGTGGCGGGGGAGTGCTGACCTAAGTAACAAAGGCAGTGGCATCTGTAAGACTAAGGGAAGCAGTAACTGCACAGAGTACTGTACTCTAGTTGATCAAATTGTTTTCTACAGGAATATAGGTTACAAATCTCCAAACACTCCATACATATATAGTGGAATTTATAATTAAGTACACGAATGGCAGATGATGCAATCTAGGTTTCTTACCGTTAGAGAGAGTTTATAAAGAAGCACAGAAAGGAGGCTGGAAGAGAATTGGAGACATTAGTATGAATTCATGTTTGACTAAACACAGCTACAGATAGTTACATAGAGAAATAGCAGACACATGGGTCACTGTACATACATAGGATTCCTTCTCAGTCCGCTGAGAGGGCCCGGCACTGGCAACACTGCAGTAGCAATGAACACACCTAGCGCACAGATTTTGGTTTCTAATACTATTTTCCAATAAAAGAAAATAAGGCTTTAGAACTGAGGCAGAAATTCTGTTAAGATGAGCCTGAAGCATCTTGTAGAGTCAAAAAGTAAGCAGTTCTCCAATAAGCGAATGAATGCATGCATGCATGCATGCATGAATGAATGAATTAATGAATTAATGAAAACATGGAGCTGTGTCAAAGGGATGCAGGAGCCAAGTGGCCAAAGGGATGCAGAGCTCCTAATGGCCAGAGCTGAAACAACTTAAGCAACGAAGCAAGTGGTGTAATATTAGATTATAACTCAAGTACAAAATAAATTCTGAGTCCATACTGACATAAATAAATAATTGAGCAAATAAATAGGAGAGACAAGACAGAGCTTACAGGCAGAGGGATTTCAAATAATGTATGTAAATACTCTGCCCTCAAGGAGGTGAAGCTAACACATGACTCCCCAGATCCTTAAATGTGTACTCTCTACAGTGCCTTTCTTACAAAGAATACAGTATGAAAAGGGAGTAGGGGAGTAAATTTACAATGGAGAAACCTGACAAACACTACCTCCGCCAAGATATCAAGGTCAACATCGACAGTCATAAATATGTTAACAGTATGTACCTTTTATATAATGTGATAAGAATGGTACTTTACCTCCACACTCTCCCTCCCATAAAACCATAACCCCAGTCTAATCATGAGGAAAATGTTCAACAAATCCCAGCTGAAGATGAGTTTACAAAATGCCTGACCAGTATGCCTCAAAACTATGAAAGTCATCAAAAATAAGGAAAATCCAAGAAACTGTCACAGATCAGAGGAGCCTAAGGAGAATGGCAACTAAATGTACTTTGGCATCCTGGATGGGATCTTAAAATTAAAAAAGAGACGTTAGATAAAAAACTAAGGAAGTCTGAAGAAACTGTAGTTTAGTCAATAATGATGTATCAGTATCAGTTCATTATTTATGACAAATATACCACAACAATGTAAGCTATGAAAAATAAGAAAAAGTGGGTGTGTGATATGCGGACCTCTCTGTGCTATGTTTGCAGTTCTTGTAAATCTAAAACTATTATAAAATAAAAAAATTATTGAAATAAATAGGTGTTTCAGACAAACCCAACAGAGAAACATTCTGCATGTAAAACATTTGTGAGTGTCATGCAAAAAAAAAAAGAAAGAAAAACTCAAAAACTATCACAGGTAAGAGAAGACTAAGGAAACAGGACAATTTTTTTAAATGTGAAATCCTGGATAGGATTATGAAATTTTAAGAAAAACACTAGTGGAAAAACTGCTAAAATCCAAAAAGAAGGCTATAGCTTAGTCAATAGCAAGGTACAAATATTAATTTCTCAGTTTTGGCAAATATACCATGATGGTATAAATGGTAGGGAAGGCTGG